TTGATACTTTTATGTTTTTTCTTTTTTCTTTTTTTTCTTGTGTTTTAAAAAAAAAAACTTTAATAAAATCCGTGATTTTTTTCTTATTTTTAATATTATATATCTAATTCTCCAATCAAACCATTTGCTAATAAATTAATTGAATTTGGTTAATGAAGTATAAATTGAGACATTTTTTCATATCTTTGAGGACTTTTAAATTTACAAAATAGCTAACTGACTTAAATTATAAAAATATTTTAGAATTTATCATAAATGATATATCAAATTGATCACTTTTCGCAATTTTAGAAGAAAAAAAAAATATGTTATATTCAAACAAATACATTGAAATTTTAATTGAAATTTAATGATTATAACGACCATTATTACATCGGTAATATTATTTACGTTTTGATGTTACTTTTTTTTTTTTGTTTGTTAGATTCAAGATTAGTTGTGTCAAGCAGTCGGTTTTATATTATTGGTCGTGTCAGTGAAATTCAAGGTTAATTCTGCTATGACACTGACGAAACTATGTATGTGACTCATAAAATTTATCGTGATTTATATAGGTATTAAAATATAATTTTATTTATTCATGTGAGATTAAAAGTGACTTATATCTCCATAATTTTATCAATATTATTAAGAATTAGTTATATTGATAATTCTTTATATCGACAAGTTTGTTTGTACACATGACTAAGATTTATATTATCTACAACTGAACTCCAACCTTGCTCATCCATTAATTTATCTGATCATCTTAGTACTTGAAGTTTTAGAAGAATCTACTGTTAGACAACATGATGAGCTTATCTAGAATTTCAATTTTAAACATTATTAAAACCAAACATCATGGGCTGGTACTAAGGAGAATAATTAGGCCACGAAATGTTGCATTACTCATGATTATTTAAATATTCTACAACAATTTTAAATTTATAAAAAAAAAATTAAAAAAAATCATATATATCTAAATAAATCAAATAAAAATGATTCAATTATATATTTTGAATAGGATATTTTAAGTCTTAGTAATCAAGAAACAAAACTCGTCTACGTTTTGACCATTCGAATGTCTATTTTTGCGATTGATTGTATGGTCAAGAAATAGTCGAACGTCATGTTGCACTTCACTGCGAAATATAGTGTAAGTTGCAAACATAAAAAAATTGTGGTCAATGTTTTACCGGTCAAATTGAGACATCTGCGTGTGACCTTCATGGGTCGGGGAATGGTGGATAAGCATAACCCTAGCCATGCAGCTGCACGTGTACACATTGAGGTGGCAAGTGTTTCAACACATTTATTTTGTTTTTATTTTTTTAATGTTCATTCTTTTTTTTCCGAAACGATAGATATTATAAAGTTCGGAATAATTACAATCGTCGGAATTACAGAAACAAACACCACTGGGGTGAAATGGAGATGCACCAACCATGGTGATCTAGACAAAACAAAACAAAAATACTACTAGCTAAGAGATTAAGGTAAAATATGAAATTGGATATTAAAAATGTCCATTCCATTGGGATTAAGTTCATAGAAAATTGGATAAAATTAGATGCCCTACCCATAAGTTTCATTTAATTCTAGGAAAAAAAAAATATGAAATTCACTAGTATAAATAGAATATAAATTTGGAATCAAATATTTGAAGGTAGTCATTTTGGAACAAAGGGAAAATCACTTGAAGGTATTAATAATAATAAGTGAGAAAATTGCAATTTTAGTCCCGTAACTTAGGCTGTTTCCCATTTTAGTCCACTAACTTAGGCCGATCCAAATTTTGTCCAAAAACTCCCAAAAGTTAGTTAAATTAGTCCAATTGGACTAAAATTGGACTGAAATTGACCAATCAATTTCGACGACAGAGACCGAAATTGGACTGATTTAACTAACTTTTGGGAGTTTTTGGACCAAATTTAGATCGGCCTAAGGTAGTGGACTAAAATAGGAAACAACCTAAGTTACTGGACTAAAATTGCAATTTTCTCATATTAAGTTAAGTTCATCTCTCTACTTTAGCAAGCGCGTTTTTGGGTCAGATATTACAGAAAACACACAAGTTCAAAGCATGGACATTACATATTTGAATGGATAAACTTATTTATAACACGTTATTAGCATGATGCTCACGCCTGAAACACGAAACCACTGGTCTCATGGTTGATAAGTTAGGTTCATTAGCGAGTGATTAAGTTATGGTGATCTTGACGTACTGACGTGGTGTAAACGAAATGTTCATACATTAAATTAGATATAAGTAGTGTTGTAAACGAATCGAACCGAACCGAGTTTGGGTTGTTCGTGCTCGTGTTCATTTACGTTCGAACAGTGTTCGTGTTCGTGTTCATTTACGTTCGAACAGTGTTCGTGTTCGTTCGTTTATTTTTCGAGCAAAAGTTAGTGCTCAACTCGTTCGTTTAATTGTTCGTCAAAGTTTGAGTTCGTTCGTATTCGAATAATTTAAGACATAAACCTTTAAATATGTTTGATTAACTCGAATTCGTTCGTTCGAACTCGAAAATAAGAAAATAAAAATATTTTTATGTTTCAGATTTTTTGTTAAAAATATTATATAAATGTATAAAAAATGAAATAAAAATATATTAAATTAATATTTGCAAATATTATCGAACGTTCGCGAACGAGCTCGATTCGGGGTTGTTGCATAGATTTGTCCCTGGCAGCTGGTCTTGCAAAATAAGTCAAAACCCAAATTCTAGTAGGCCCGGTCTGATGGTTAATGTGGGCTGGCCTGTAAATTGAGCTCAAACCCAAATTTTAGTAGGCTCGATGTCCATACTGTAGATTTTTCTGAGCTGGCCTGCAAATTGAGCCCAATAGGTAGTCTTCTATTGAATCTAAAACCATTACCCATTAGAGTACACAGCCGCATCAAAGTTCGTGTATGTATTTGCAAGAATTGGAGAAAATAATATCCATATATTTGATAGAACACAAAATTAATTCCAACACAATTTTAGAAGCTTCAATTCAAGCTAGAACATGCACCAAGAAGGGAATTAACTCATTCTGAGAATCTAAAGCCCAGATTCAAGTAGGCCCAGTATCTAATGCTGTTATTTATGGGCCACAAATATATCGGGGCCGACCTGCCGTTGAACCCAAGTCGTTGTTTGTACCACATAACCCCAAAATGAATTTAGTAGTTCTAAATAACGCATCATCGATATAACGTAGCACGCGCTCTAGACGCATCTTTACCAACAGAAAAACATCGCAAAGCATTGACTCGAATGATCTAGCCACCTCACCATTGTAGTGATATTTTTTGTTTCTCTCTTTATCTTTGGATTCCTATGTAATGATCCGGGAAGAGCTCCAATGCGAGAGTTTGCTAAACAACCCTAGACAGGAGGGACTAGTTCGCCATATATCAAGAAAAGCTCTTACTGCGATTGTTGTGACTACTGAGCCTACTTGCTTGATCGACCTCATCAACCGACTACTTAAAGAAACTAAGAGTGGGAAGGGGGCATAAGCTCACCAATTAGGTTGGAAATTGGTTGGAATGTGTCCCTAGCTATTAATCGGTTTTTGGTTCACACGACCCTCTATAGTGTAGTTTACTAAATGGATGATAAAGTGCAAATATATAGCCCAATCTAGTCAATCTCTTGGCAAGCTCAATAGATAGCCCAATCTATATAAACAATAGAACATCACAATTTGACAAATTTACCATTTAGGGGAGCTCAATTTTGTTGTCAAATACAAGAGTAATGCGGAAAAATAGAAATTTCAATTGATGTGATTCCTAAGCAAGTCAAGATTAAACAAGATTAGACACAACTCTATAAAATCTTCGATATTTATCGAATACAATGTTAATTCGCTAATCACATTATCAAGTTTTGACATTTTAATAATATGATTACAAGAATTATTACAAGAGATTAAACAAGGGAAGATGCTACGGTTCCGTTACGGAACCATACCGTCAGGATTTGTAACTGTTGGATCAATTATATCTAACGATTACATCATGATCTAACGGTTACAAGCCCCGACGAAATAGTTCCGTAACGGGACCTTAGCATTTCCCTTAAACAAGATTAGATACAACTCCATTGAATATTCAATATTTATCAAACTCAATGTTAAATCTCCAATCCCATTTATCAAAATTTGACATAACAAATTTATGATTATAAGAACTATTACAAGAAAAAAAAAAAAAGAGAAAGGGGGAGCCAGTTAACACACAAATAACATGAAATAAATAATAATAAACACTATAATTTTACAATAAAAAAAAAAAAGTTGGTTAGATACAACAAACTCAAAATTGCACATTTAGTGTGATTGGGCAAATTAAATTTCCACACTTACTAAAATGGGTAAGCTAGCAAAATTCTCAAAGCCACTCATCTTCCAATCTAAGCTCCTCTGTTTCTCTCTCATCTACCTCTTTTCCTCTCTCTCCTTGGCCGTGTATTTCACCGTCTCCGCCACAAAATGCATTTTCCGGTGGTCGCCTTTCGATCCAGTCCAGGCCCCACTTTTCTTATATCCATCCTCTTATGGAGAACACAAACACGCCATCCCGACGACTCGCGCCTCGTGCAATTCCCCTGTTTCTTTTTCGGGTAACAAAGATAATCACGGATGAAAAACAAATCTAAGATAACAATGTATTTTGGTTTCTAAAATTAGATTTTTCATTGCCAATGTGTGTATGTGTTTTTCTTTATCTCTTTTTTTGTTTTGGTCAGATTATCATGTGGTTTTTGATGAAATCAAGACAACATTTGGTAACTCGACAAGAAAATCGGCTCTGAGGTATAAAAAACAGGGGAATTATGGGATGTTTGGAGGTAATCTTAGTTTTCCCGAGAGAATTTCTTATTTCGATCGTCGCGAAAATGGAATTGAAATCCCATGTGGGTTATTTAGGCGCTTTCCTATCGGTGATTCAGGTTTTTTTTTTTCTTTTTTGTATTTTCGGTTCTTACACGATCACAACTCTTGTGATCGTGTAGAAAGTTATCGTTTTCCCTCGTCTGTTTTTGCTTGGTTTTATTGGATATGATATGTAAGGTAAGTTCTAAATGCATTTTATTGTGTACCAACTGAGTTCAAGAACTCCAATTCTCACTATATTTTTCAGATAGAATTTCAATGGAAAAATGCGACGGCCTAGTGGTAGCATCCGCCATATTCAACGATCACGACAAAGTTCGACAGCCGAGAGGACTCGGGTCGAAAACCCTAGACAATGCATGCTTCTTCATGTTTGTCGACGATGTCACTCTAAACCGACTTCACTATCACAAAATGATCTCGAAAACATCAAAAGAATTAAAAATCGGTGCGTGGAGAATAGTTAATGTCTCGGCCGATCAATTGTACGAAAATCCCACCATGAATGGGATCGTGCCTAAATACCTTATCCACCGGATCTTTCCTAATTCAAAGTATAGCTTGTGGGTCGATGCGAAGATGCAATTGGTGATCGACCCATTTTTGTTGATTCATTCGCTTGTTGTGAAGGAGGATGCGGACATGGCTATCTCGAGACATCCTTATTTTTTGCACACGATGGAGGAGGCAATGGCAACCGCCCGGTGGAAAAAATGGTGGGATGTAAACGGGTTAAAGGTACAAATGGAGACTTATTGCGAAAACGGGTTGAATCCATGGAGCTCGAACAAGCCTTACCCAACAGGTAGAAGCAAGAATACGTAATACAAAAGTATCCACGATGTTCTGTTCAGAAGTGAACTCGAGTTATCTTTTGAAATTACAAACATATCCTCCTAACATGCAATGTTATATGATACGGGTTAGAAAAAAATCGTTATAGTTTTGACTCAATAACATGGATTTTATACTAATGTGATTAAAAATTTATTATAGTGGTTACAACTTACATAAGATAGATAATTAAGTTTTATTCGTTTTCCTTCCGTCTTTCGATTCAAAATTAGAAATCATATTGTTAGGCAAGCCAAACGGCTCGACAATCATACTTTTTCAACAGATATTTATTACATTTTTGATTATTTTGCAGATGTACCAGATAGTGCACTTATACTAAGGAAACATAGTGTAGCAACAAATATGTTTTCATGCCTATTGTTCAATGAACTTGAAGCATTCAACCCAAGAGATCAACTTCCATTCGCATTCGTGAGAGACAAAATGAGCCAAAACCTTAAACTCAACATGTTTGAGGTTGAAGTTTTTGAACAGGTGGCATTAGAATACAGGCACAACATTAAAATGGGCCGGGCCGGAGCACGGCCCAAAACCAAGATGGCCGGCCCAGATTTATTTGCCAACAGAAGTTGTGGAAAATGTGAGGGTAAATTGCACCAAATCCCCCTGTATTATACTAAATTTGTGCATTATTCCCCTGTAATTTAAAAATTGCGTCAAACCCCCTTGTAATGTAGTTTTGCATGCGCGAAACACCCTAGACCGTCTAAGATGACGGCAGTGATGAACACGCGCGTGTTGTGCAGCTTTTTCTTCATTTTTTCACCCAAAAATCGCGTAATTTACTTTTTTACCCTTAAAATCAACCATTTAAATAATTGCAAACTAAAATAATTATAAAAAATATA